TGTCTTCAGTCTTCAGTCTTTGCTCAGGTCAGAGCCTCAGTCTTCGCTCCATGCCTGTGTATACAAATTAACCTGCCATGGTTGTAGGGTTAATCTGCATACTCACTCTTGATTGGCTGGTGGGCATTGTGGAGGCACGGTCAATTTGCATATTCCTCTTATTAGTGTAGATGGTCAGTGTGTGTCATGGTAGCTCCTGTGTTGAGCATTTGTCCCCTGATGGTCAGTGCACATCATAGCTACTGGTTGAATGGACGGACACTTAGCCTTTTATACATATATAGATTTGATCCAAGCTGATGACATGCAGGGGAGCAAGATCTCAAGTGCCCTAGAGAATGAGTTTTGTAGCTTCTTTTATGCATTTGAAAGTAAGGAAGGAACTAAGGAAGATTACATGAAAATGGGAGAAAGCAAGATGAGAACTGGATTGTAGGGTAGTTAACAAGATTATGTGCTCCCTTGTGGGTGGTTATCCCTTCAAAGGATCTGAAAAAGAATTACTCTGGCAGTTCAAAAACGTGTCAACCTAGATGCTCAAGAACAATGGGCTGGGCTTGCTTAAGGCAAAGATAAACCTTTTACTAAAGAAGTTATAGGCTTGGAATATGACTACCCACTATACCCTGCCCAGTTAGGAATTTATGATCCAATCACCGTGTAAGGTTACTTTCACTGGACTTGGCACTTTTACTACAGAACCCCTTTTTCTTCATGTGTGTAAAGCACTTCATAGTTTTGCCATTTTACTTGACAGTTCTTACTGGCAATGGTTAAGGCCATGGCTTGGGTGTTTATGGATGATGGAGCAGAGGATCTAATGGGTTCAATGACTCACCCAATTCCTCCGGTAAGAGGCAGAGCCAAGCTTTGGAAAGAGCCATGGATTCCTGGCCTCAGGTTCTTCCACAGGATGTTAGTGTGATGTCTCAGTGTCACTGTCACTGGCTGAAAAGACCCACCTGAAGCTCTGTCTTTCCTGTTTAAGTTAGTCTCTTAATGGGCACTTGCAGCTTCTATGACTGGAGCCATTTACTGTCCCCGCACTCCTGCCTCTCCTCCCTGCTGCGCTGCCCGAGGCCATTTCGGAAGGCCTTGAAGGTTAGCCTCAGCCGTTCTGGATTCTGACTATCCCATTCCAATTGGTTGCAAAACAGCCATTTGTGTTTTTGCTGACTTGGGCCATCTTTTTATCCCTTTTTACTTCTGATATTCTTAAGAGGCAATTTCAGTATCTGGCAGAATAAACTCCCCATGATCTAATTCTGAGTTTTCAACTGACTGAATGGTTTAAGAAGGGCAAAAGTTATGACTGTGCAATATTCCAAGAAACGGTTCCTTTCTCAAGCATTTATTGTATATCTGTGGATACCGCTCTTTCCTGGATGCTGTAATAACTGAAATAGAGAATAGAAAAAACAAAATAAAATCAATAAAACCAAAAGCTGATTCTATGAAAAGATCATCAGAATTGACAAACTTTTAGCTAAATGAACTAAGAGAAAAAGAGAGAAGATTCAAATTACTAAAATCAGAAATAAAAGTGGGAACATTACTGATTCTATAGAAATAAAAAGGTTATGAGATAACTGTGCACAACTATACACCCTCATTTCCCCTCCTTTGCCCACCTCCACCAGCCCAAGACAATCTTGAAAGAGAACAGAAACCTTCTGATTTCAAAACCTACTATATTCCTGCAGTCATGCCCCACTGGCGTGGCTCAGTGGTTGGCATTGACCTTTAAACCAGGAGAATATGGTTGTATTCCCAGTCGGGTGGGTCATGTGCCCAGTTGCAGCTTGATTCCCAATGGGGGGCATGCAGGAGGCAGCCAATTGATGATTCTTTCTCCTCATTGGTGTTTTTCTTTCTTCCTCTCCCTTTCTCTTGAAATCAATAAAAAATCCCTCTATATAAAAGGCTACATGGCTGACCATACGTCTGACCATCCATCCAACTGGCTGGCACATATGATGTGCCCTGGCAATTTAAAAATAACATTGACTCACGCATGCACGATACACGTAAAGTTCTCGCTGGCACCAATCGCATGCGTGTATTTCAATCTGTCATTGTCTATTGTGAATTTGGTTGACACTTCTTTTATAGAGAAAGGGTGAATAGTGATATAATTAATTTCCTTTCGATGTGCACACATCCGTGCACTAGGCCACTAGTATATTTATTAAAAAAACCCTGCAGTCATCAAAACAATGTGATATTGGCAAAAGACAGACATAGATCAACTCTCGCATATATGGTCCAATTTTTGAAAAGGATGTTAAGACCATTCAATGGGGAAAGGACAGTCTTTTTAAAGAATTTTGCTGGAAAAACTGGATATTCACATGCCAACGAATGAAGTTGGACCCTCACCTAACACCATATATAAAAATTAACTAATAATGGATCAAGGACATAAATGTAAGACCTAAAACAATAAAACTCTTAGAAGAAAACATAGGAAAAAAACTTCACAACACCGAACTTGGCAATGATTTCTTGGATATGACACCAAAAGCACAGGTAACTACAACAACAAAAGACAAATTGAACTTCATAAATTTTTAAATTGTGCATTAAAAGATGTTATTCATAGAGTAAAATGGCAACCCACAGAATGGAAGGAAATATTTGCAAATCATATATCTGGTAAGGGATTAATATTTAAATTATACAAAGAACTCCTGAAACTCAACAACATGAACAACAAAGAAAAAGATTAAAAAATGGGCAAAGCACTTGAATGGACATTTCTTCAGAGGATATATGAATGACCAATAAGCATATGAAAAGACCTAGTATAATGTAGTTGCCAGGGACTGGGGTTGGGGGGAAGGGAAGAATGGAAGTTATTGATAAATGGGGACAGAGTTTCAGTTTTATAAGATGAAAAGAGTTACAAACAGGGATGGATGATGGTGATGATGTTTGGACAACAATGTGAATGTATTTAAGACCACTGAATTTTACACTTAAAAATGGTTAAGATTGTAAATTTTATGTAATGTGTATTCTACCACAATAAGAAAAAAGGAAAAATAAAATCAGGAGCCTTTTTGGTATATGGACAACAGAAAAATATTTAAAAGATTTGTGTGTTTTTTTAAACAGAAAAACAAGAATCAGGCCAGCCTGAAATTAAAACCTACCAAGATCAACTTGACAGTAGCAGAATAACAATGGGGTATTCACATAGTCTCCTCTGGAATTCAACAAATGTGAGGGTTATGGGGAATTTCATAAATCAAAAGGGCAAAATATTCAGAAAAAGAATTATGTGAAAGTAAGAATCTGCAACCGGAGATAAGTGGGAAGGGGACCATGGTCTGAAACAGGATATCATTTTTTAAATCCCTTAAGACATGTATTAATAATTGCCTGTGTTCTATTCCTGCTCTCAAAAACAACCTTATCTTCAGAGTGAATGCTAGAGTGGACGTAGCCCCTGGGAAGACGAACTTGGTACGGATGTGCCAACCACAAGTCTTTAAAAGGGGCACACCCTGTTGGTTCCATCAGAGCCACAAAGTGGCCCTCTGGGGAAATCAGTGCAATGCTGGTCTATAGTGTTGACTCTATGTCTCTGATATTCAAAAACAAGCAAAATCGCCCTGGCTGGTTTGGCTCAGTTGTTAGGAACGTTACAGGGAATGTTCAGAATAGGTAAACTAAGAGAGAAGGAAGGTAGATTGGTGGTTGCAGGGGCTGGGGGCGGGGAGGGGAGAAATGGAGAGTGACTGTTAAGGGTACTGAGTTTTTTAGTAGGGGTGTTTGAAAATGCCCTGGAATTAGAGAGTGGTGATATTTGCACAACATTTTGTAAATACTGAAAACCTCTGAATTGTGCACTTTAAAATGGCAAAATGACGGGGGGGGGGGGGGGGGGAGGGGGGACCCCATGGGGAGAGAACAAAGTTTTTTTTAATTAGCAAACTGAAAGCTGAATAACATTTCTCCTCTTTGTCAAAGCACCTATACCTTTTGTACACATTTGTAACCAGAGAATGTGCATTATTAGACCCATGTGCCAAGCAGGTCTAATTGGTCATGCACCTAGTCCCTAGTTGTATCGATTTGCCATTATTTGATACAATTTTAAAAAATTATATTCCTACCCTATGCCTGGCACTTAAGTACTACTATAATTTTTTTTTTTAATTATTTTATTGATTTTATACAGAGAGGAGGGAGAGAGACAGAGAGTTAGAAACATCGATGAGAGAGAGCCGACCAGCTGCCTCTTACACACCCCCTACTGGAGATATGCCCGCAACCAAGGTACATGCCCTTAACCGGAATCGAACCCGGGTCCCTTCGGTCCCCAAGCCGACGCTCTATCCACTGAGCCAAACCGGTCTCGGCAGTACTGCTCTAAATATTTACTGGATTGCCTACGCTTGCTATTCCTGTTTCATTAGTGTGGCCTATTGCATTTTAGCTATAATTACCTATTGTTTCAGAATGTTTCAGAAAAGATAATATCCCTTAAATGATGTGCTGTTTAATAAGAGCTCCACATTTTCCATTTGTAAGCTGTGTGTGTGTATATTTTTTTTAGATAGAAAATAGCATGCTTGCCTTTTCTGACCTCAAAGGTAATATCTACTGCTAGAGGCCCCGCGCACGAAATTCGTAGGGTCCGTCCCTAGGCCTGGCTGGCAATTGAAGCGCAAGTGTCTGGCGTGGAAGGGGAGGCCCCAGCTGACCTCTGGGCCCTGGACGGCACCTGGTCCCGCGCACCCCCCCCCCCCCCCCCGCCTGAGTCATGGCGGCCAAATCCCCACACAGATGTGGTGAGCGCAGCTGGACCCCACGGCCAGGGTGCAGCATGGGCCTCTGGTGCTGCACAGAAACTGGGCAGGCAGTGCACTCTCTCTTGCCATGCTCCGCACTGCCCCCTGGTGATCAGTGCACCTCATAGTGAGCGGTCAAATTCCCGCTCTCCAGTCAAACTCCTGGTCAAACAACTGCTCGAGGGGACAATTTGCATATTAGGCTTTTATTATATAGGATTTTAAGAGCTTTTACTAATGGTCTTGCCTGGACTGTGCCTTTAGCTTTTAGAAGCCTCCAAACAATTGCATATCTGCAAAGGAGTTTCTTCTTTGTAACCTCTCTGCCCAGTCATTCTTTTCATCATCTTCTCTGCATCTTTCATCACATCTTTCCAAATAGCTTCTTAGCTGCCTTTTCTCAGATGCTTAGGATGCCATTGTCTTCTTGTCCAAAGATCATGTCTATCTTATTTGCAAATAAGAAGGAAGAATAGAGTGTTTGCCATTTGTTTTGCCAAATCAACACCCTTAATTCCTAACTTCGCTCCCCTCCCAAACCTCCACCTAAAGGAGCAGGGGACTCAGACTTCTCTCTTTCTCTGTGTGCGGCAGAGATGTGCACAGCCTGCCCTTTTGTTCTCAGTGGTATCTGGTCCACTTTCCCTGCTGCTCTCATCATTCAACCACCTCAAAGTGAGTTATTTCCAGGAATGAGGAGGATCTCATATCCTCTGCATCCTTGCCCAAAAGCCCATTTTTATCTGGTAGCAAACTGGGCAAGACAGTTCTCCAGAGTGAGGGTGGAGCGCAGAGTGAAACCAAGAGGTCTTCTCAGTGATGGAGAGGTCAGCGGCACTTGGCTTCCTGTGACAGTAATGATCATCCTGTGTCACCTGCGGCCATGAGGGGAGTGGCCAGAGGCAAACTGAAAGGGTGGAGCTGAGGAAGGCCAGGCCCTTCGCCCTGGAGCTGTCGATGCACATCCAGTGAGCTGGCAGCCATGGCTTCCTGACTGATGTGACGAAGAGAGGATGGTTGAACCTTAGGATGGAGCCGCTATTGGTTGAATGGCGGTTCATCTACCTGTAGCTCCTCTTCATCCATTGTTGTTATTCTGTTTGTTTGGATTTCAAGCCTCAAAGCCTATTTCCCACCTTTCCCCTCTGGTTTAAATTAAACCTCTTTACTTCTTCTAAAGCTTGTTCTGGGATTGGGGATTGGGGATGCTGGGTGCACTTCATACCGCCATAGAGACAGCCAGCCGCATTCACAAGCACAGGGAACCTGTAGTTAGGAAGTTATTTCCTCGTTCCTGGAAACTCACTCTCACTTTGAGGTGACTGAGTCATGAGTGCAGCAGGGAAAGGGGACTTTTTCCTGTTAACTGAGCTGGGTTAGGGAGGAGCCGTTCTGTGAAGGATGTGGGCAGCTTTCTCTGTGTAGAGAGGCTTGGCAGCCTAAAATTCTCAGGGAGAATTCCAAAGTTTGGGGAAATTGAGACTAGAATCGTTGTGTGGTTTTATATCTGCGGGTTTATTTTTCCCCCCCTGCACTTAGAACTGCATTTATATATAAAAGAATACAACAATGAAATGATAATGGCAGCTATGTTTATTCTGTTCTGCTGTGATCTCTTCTGGAGGTGTTGCCTTGAGGAAGTTTAGGCCGTGTGTGTGTGTGTGTGTGTGTGTGTGTGTGTGTGTGTGAGAGAGAGAGAGAGAGAGAGAGAGAGAGAACCAGCAAACTACTTGCCAAAGTCGCCAAGCCATGAGTGGCTGAGCTCAGGTTCAGACTCCGCCCTCTGCCCCAGCACCATGCCCTCACTGCCCTGAGCCAGGCCACCACCGGCAGAACAAACGCCCACTGTCAGGAGGCTGATGCTTCCGTGTTTATTTCTCTGAGTGGCTTAGATGTTCTCTGTCATTCTGTGCTGTGTCCTTCACAAAGCCTTCAGCATCCTTATTCTTCCTCCCCGGGAACATCTGGCATGATGCTGGGGCCTGCGGGCAGGAATTTTTGCTCAAATCATCTGTTTCTTATCAGTTTTAGAAAATCATCTTTGGCTTCTGTTCTCTTTTTGCTTTTATTTCCACTCTAGAATGCTTCTTCTTTAGGATTATTGTGTTCCTGCCTAAGGGCTTGGAGAAATGTAAAGAGGTTTTTGAGCAAGCAGTTGAGTTTTTAGCCTGTTGTCACGTTGTTGCCCTAGTGCAGTGTTTCCCAAACTTTTGACATGTGTCCCCCTTCTATAATTTTCGTAACGCTGAGTACCCCTCGTACTCATGAGAACGTAGAATTAGGCGCAGCTAAGCACGGTGCAGTGCATATCCCCACCAAACTCCGGTGCAATGCGTACCCCCCTAAACTCTTCCCGTACCCCCGGGGTCCACGGACCACACTCTGGGAAACACTGCGGCCTAGTGCAGTGGTTGGCAAACTGCAGCTTGTGAGCCACATGCGGCTCGAGAGCCGCGGTTTGCCGCTCTGTTGACTAATGAGTGTGCAGACCGCTGCCCTAGTGGAAGAGGGTTGTCTTCCTCAGGATGCTGAGGAGACAAGTGTGTAACTGGATGCAGTGTACATTTAAGCCTCGGACCCAACAAGGCGTTCCTCTGTCACGTGTGTGCATTTCTCTGCAGTGAACAGGCTATGTGAGGCCGGGCCCAGCGCCCTTCCCTGACGGGCTGGAGTTCTGATCCTGGGCAGAGGGGAGAAAGCCAAAGGAGTGAGGCCGCTTGGAGGAGGTCTGTGAAGACGAGAAGAGGCTCTGAGGCTTTTGGGGTCATCAGGAAACCATTCTTCAGCAAACATTGGCCCTTCGCCCTTCCTTTTTCCCCACTTGACAGATCAGTTTATTAGCATCAAATTTAGTGCTTTGCCCTTTCTGAAGCGGCAAACAGGTGCCCAGGAGCTAGGCTTTCTGGTGACTGCCACACTGTGCTCCTGGTTTGGGGTCCATGTCATTTCTCCTGCCCCCACACTCGTCCCAGCCCCATAACCTGAGGTCTCCGGCTGGTGGCCCTGCTGACGGATGCTGGCACTTCTGCAGGGTTTCATCTTGTGGCTGTGGAGTCCCCGGACACACCCATTCCTTGCTTCTCTCCTCCTTCCTCCTCCTTCCCTTCATGCCCTGGTTAGAGGCATGGCATATTCTGGGTACACGGGAAAACAAACTCACTCTCCCTGGGTACACATACCCCTCTCTGTCTCCAGTAATCTGCTCACTTCAGATCAAACAGTCTCATTCTGAATCCATTTATCCATATGTTCATTCAACAAGGGTTTTGTGCCAGGCACTGTGGTAACCTATGTGTTCAAGGCCATTATCTGATATTGTCTGACCAGTATCGCTTGCAGAAGTCTGGGTCACTGAAGTGCCTTTGACCTCTTACCCATTTTATAAACTCAGATATTCCTCTTGAGCAATACAGTATCTCTCTTCCAAAGAGTTGAGGCTGAGGCTTCAATTCTTTCCTCATTCAAAGGGGGAGCCTGGAGCAGGCCCCTCCCTGCCAGGCCTCATTCTTTTCCTCAACGATGGAAGTGAGACCTCTTCCCATCCCCACTCCTTCGGTTATCTGTTTGCTATTCCCAGCACATATGGTCAGGCTTGGCCCATTCACTGCCGCTGGCCTGGAGCCCGTTCACTGTTGTTCCTCTGTCCCCGCATCTACCCCCCCCCCCCCCCCCCCCGGCTTCTCATTCCTTCTCAGTTTCAGCTCCCGGAGACCTCAGGAGAGTCTGTTATCAGCCACGGGAAGCCACACCCAAAGATGCTCTCTAAGTAAAGGGGGAATTTGAAAATAGAAATCTTTTCTTCATTTATTTTCCCCTTTGAGACTGGCCTGATGAATGAACAGTCCATTTGGCCCATGGCGCCAGGATTGTCTGATCTTTTCTAGGGACTCCTGAAAGCCTCTGATTGGTATGGATACTGAGGCGTGTGGCCTGGCCTCGCTCCTCTGAGCTGCCAGCGTAGAATGGCTTCCGGATAGAGAGATCTTCAGGGTCCCACGTCTTGCTGTCCTCTCTCCTGGCCCTCGCCACCTGGTGGGCTCTGCTGTGAGGCCAGGGTGAGCTGAAGCCTTTAGTTAGTTCGCTTGTTTATTTCTTCTTTTGCCTCTCCTCTCCCCACCCACACCCCGAAAAGAGAAAGTTAGAAGTAGAAATGTTAAGAGCAGCGCTGACTCTGTAGACTTCAGATCTAGTGGTTTATCTCCCTTCGACAGGGGCTGCGGGTGGAAGCAAGAATTCTGAGCACTTTCACATGAACTTTCCTTCAATGACAGTTCTTGGGGAGGAGGGAAGAGGTTTCACTTGTGTTTGCCTACCACCCAGAGGGCTCCGAGGCTGCCGCCAGGGAGGGCAATTGGGCTTTTTGACAAGATTTTGCAGTGGCGGGTGGGTGCCCCATAGGGGGTAAGAACATGTGCTCCGTAAGGGATAAGGGAACGGGCTAACTTTAGGAAGTGCTGGCAGGCTTCCAGGCTGCCCCCTTCCTACGGCAGGAGGCCCTCCTGGGCCGCCCAGGCTCTGGCAGCCCTTCCCACGGCGCCCTTGGCTGTGACGCCGCTGCCCCTGAAGGCGGAGGCCGGTGCCGAGGCGCCTCTCGCCCAGGTCACTCCCGTTCAGTCCCTTATGTGGGCGCTAAGAAACTTAACACTTCCTCCAGCCTTCTACACTCTTAGCTGGGCTGATAATCACATTAGCAGAGACAGTTTAACAGGAGAAAATCAAAGTTTTAATCGTGTGCTTGGGAATTCCCTTAGGAAAGAATATTACAAAGACAGGCAATGTGGAGTATGGGAGACATTGTGTATACGGAGAAAAGGTTGGTGAGGAAATGGGGCATTAGATTTCAGAAGGAGAGTGGGCATAGTTGGAGAGGTACACACAGGGCAGGAAAATTCTTCCCAGGTGCCTGAGAAATCACGGAGCACAGTGGGACCTAGCTAACAGGCCCCTGCGAAAGCCTCTCACTGACCATACTTCATTCAGGCGAGCCTGAGGTGCACGTCCTCAGAGCTTCCTGAAGCAGGTTTTCTGTCTGAATCTCTGGGGCAGGGGAGAGGGGGAGGGTCAAAGGTTCTTTCTGAGTTTTGTGTATCCATAAACAGCTTAAAGTCCGTCTCCCAAAAAGGCAGCTTCAGGGTGGCAAGACTTTGGTTCCCTTCAGATACACAATGCCAGAAGTTTTCCAGATCCTTTCCCCTCGTGGGAACTTCCTTATACCCACCAGGACAGTTGACACGCGTTCATTTAGGTGATAAGCCCTGAAGCTTAGGTCTGGCAAAGGCAAAGCACATCCATACCAGGCAGAGCCTGAGAACCATGTGCAAAGCAGCAAACACACAACCGCTGTGAAATGTGATCGGTCCTCTAGGCCCGGTTCCCGTTTTCCTGGGAGCTTAGTTCTGGAATCTCAGACCTGCCCTCCATTCTTAGCTGATCTATTCGCCAGGGGGGAAAGGAGAGGGGCCTTCTCGGGAAACCTACACACAGACCTTTACAGTGAGCACAGGACTTCCACATCCATGCGGGGGGTTCAGGGTATCGTTTGGCAGATGAGTTGCCTGAGGTCACGAAGTACCCCGCCTGGGATCCAGGTGTCCTGCCCATTCTGTGAGGCCATGCCTCTCTTTAAAGTTTATCAGTTCCTTAAACATTGGCTTACTGCCTCCCTGGTCCCCTGCTCAGTCAGGTTTGGGGCACCAGAATGAATAAGCCACGGTCTGGCTTGGCAGTGGGGTGAGCCACTTTGCCGCCTCTAGCCAGCTATGTCACTTGGGAGGCAGGGCTCTTTAACCTCGTTAGGAGCACAGACTGCATGTGTAAAACTGCTTGGCAGCAGGCAGAACAGGCATTCTGTCCACAGCCATGAACCTGGCCTACCCATTGCCAAGGGAAGACAATGGTCTGGGCCAAATGGCGGGGTCGCTCAGTAAGAGTGCCGGGCTCACACACACAGCCTGGGGGTGCAGAGCAGAACCGGGTGGAGGTCTGGGCCCTGCTGCAAAGGTCATTTGTTCTTGCCAATCCCACCGGCAGTAGAATCTGTTAGCTAAAGGAAATGCAGGTTGTGTGTTTATTTAAGCGGGGGGAGGAGGAGGGACCTAGGGGAGGCAGCAGCATGAAGAGCATTGAGGGAGAGACTGAGTTAGTGCAGGGAGAAAGCCTAGTTAGCACTGAGCATGAGATGCTAAAAGTTGTAAGCAATCACTTAGCCAAGGACCCAGAAAGAAGTGGGGGACTGAACCGAATCTGGAGCCTGAGGGAACTGGAACCAGCCTTCCCTTCCCCATGCTTGCTCTGTGGCCAGGACCTCTACCTGATTGCCCTCCTTAGGGTTCCCAGACCCATTACAACATGAGGGCAAGGGAGTTCCCCTGCACCAACCAACAAATTCAATTTAAAAAAATATATATATATTATTGATTTTTTACAGAGAGGAAGGGAGAGGGACAGAGAGCCAAAAACATCGATGAGAGAGAAACATCGATCAGCTGCCTCATGCATACCTCCCACTGGGGACGCGCCCTCAACCAAGGCACATGTCCTTGACCGGAATCAAACCCGGGACCCTTCAGTCTGCAGGCCGACTCTATCCACTGAGCCAAACCGGTTTCAGCAACAAACTCAATGTTGACACTATCCGAGGGGTGGAGAACATCTGGCCTGCAGACTGTATAATGCCCATGAAATCATTTGGTCTGGCTCTGTCAGCGCATTAGGGGTGAATTAAATGTTTGACCAAATACAGCACGCTAATTTTTAAGTTGATAATTTTGTGTGGCCCTTGAATGATGCTGTAAATATCCAAATGGCCCTGGGCAGAATAAAGGTTCCTCACCCCAATGTGATGCAGAGAGAGCATCACATTCCATAGGTTAAGGGCTCAGTCTTACAAGATGCCTACCCTCCAACCTTCAGCCCCCCATCTCCCACCTCTCCCTCTCCCTTTCTCCCTCTCTCCCTCTCTCCTTCCCCCCCCCCCTCTCTCCGCCAGATTCTTACCAGTGTTCTGACCAGCCTGTTATAGATTGGGCATGATATGTGGGAACGGGCACAGCGCTCCCAGCTCTCTCCAGGTGCATTGCTCTCCCCAAGTCTCCACGTGTTCACCATCCCGGAGCTCTCTGAATGCATCCTCTTGGTTTTTGGAGGCTTCATTCCATAGGACTATTGATTAAATTGTTGTCTGTTGATTCAATCTCCAGCCCCACTGTCCTTTCCGGCGGAGGTTGGAGATGGGCATGGTTAGGTGTGGGAAGTGGGGAAGGAACAGAAAGTTCTAATCTGGGGGCCATAGGTTGGCTTCATTGGTAGCCAGCCCATCCTCAGGTGCTTTCCAAAAGTCACTTCATTGATAACACACCTCTTTCACTCTCAACACTTGGGAAATTGACATATGTGTATGGAAGTATATTTCCTGAATGACCAAATAATTTCTTACAAATTACAATATTGCATCCTGCATTCATTTAGTACAAAACTTCAGGATATTTGTCTCAGAACCTAACACACTGGTTCTGAGAATCTCAGACCTGACCTTCATTCTGAGCTTATCAATTCTCCATGTCCTTGGCTTCTTTTTCCCAAGGAATCACTTCCTGTGAGTGAGGCTCCATGAGGCCTGTTGCCCTTCTCCCAATAGCTCCCACCAAGAGCAGGGCTGAATCACCCCTACACCCCTTGGTCTCTGCATGGTCACTGAGCGAGGAGTGGTCTGCAGCTGGCCCTGAGCTTCAGGGGGCCCATTGGGCAGCTGAGAGAGACTTGTATTTGCTCCACAACTGTTTGAGCTCTCACTGAGTTCTAAGTGCTGAAGACACAGCAGGGAACCAGAGGGTTTAAACCTGAACTCCCATCCTGGGGGAACCTGCCAGAAGGCCAGTCACTGTTTAATTGCAGTGGCAGCTAGTGCTGCAAAGGAGAGCTCATGGGTTAGGAGCATGCCTTGGCCTGGTGGGTGGACCAGGGACAGCCTGATCTGGAGCGTTTATCTGCCTCCCCAGCTGACAGCCGCTGGGTGTGGATCTTGGCAGAATACTGGGAGCCTTAGGCAGGTTTCAGTGACTCAAACTCTGTGAACCAATGTGGACTCTCCGTTCTTGACTTTGGGCAGGAAAGATTTCACAATACAAGTCCAGGTGTTTTGATAGTATGTTTATTAAAGCTGGGGACAGTGAAAGAAAGGCAGGACTTAAGATAGAAGAGGCAAGATCATGCAACAGGCGTGAGCTGAGGTAGCGCTGCTTTGGCCCTTTAGAAAGTAAGTCACAGAGCCCTAGCTGGTTTGGCTCAGTGGAGAGAATGTGTTGGCCTGCAGACTGAAGGGTCCCAGGTTCAATTCCAGTCAAGGGCACATGCCTGGGTTGTGGGCTTGATCCCCAGTGGGGGTCGTGCAGGAGCAGCCAATCAAATATTCTCTCTCATCATTGATGTTTCTATCTCTCCCCTGTCTCCCTTCCTTTCTGAAATCAATAAAAATATTTTAAAAAAGAAAGAAAGATAAAAGTCAGAAGAAGTGAGCCAGCTGGGTTGAGAGGACTCAGGAAACAAATTACTGAGGGACGTTGAAGAAAGCAAGCAGTGTGCCTTAGGAAAGAAGTGGGGAGGGATAGCCCTCGCTGCATAGCCTGGTTAGAGCCTTGACCTGATATGCCAAGATTTCATTCCTGCTCAGGGCACATACAAGAATCAGCCAATTAATGCATAAATAAGTGGAACAACAAATTGATATTTCTCTCTTCCTTTCTAAAAACCAATAAATAAAAAAGTTTAAATGTGGGGTGATGTACAGACACGCTCTAGAGACAGAGCATGTGCTGGGTCTTTTGTCTCAGGGTTTTTATGTTTTCTAAAAGCGGGGGTTTTAGGAAAGGACCTCAATAGAATATTCATCAGCTTTTAAGGTATGTTCGTTCAGGGTCAAGGTCTCTACTGATTGGTTGGTGCTAGGGTAGGCAGTCATTGGTCATTGCACTGGTCTTGTTGTTGCTGTTAATCCTCACCTGAGGATATTTTTCCATGATTGTTAGAGTGGACAGGTGGGCTGACCTCGACACCCTGTAATCGACAGCTCTAAAGGGCTTAAGAGTTTCAGCTGAACGGACAGCTTCCTGTAGTTTCAAGTCTAACAAGCTCTCTGCTTGTTTTCTCTCTGCCCTCACACCTTCCCACTATTTGATTTCAACACAAAAGAGGCACCTTCAATTCTTCGGATTGTTTTCCCGCTTCCACACTGGAGAGGAGATGTGAGAGTATGGTTGAGGAAAGAGCAAAAAGGCAGAAAGCATAAGGAAGAGGCAGCAAACACATCCTCTTACCCTGCTGAGTTGCCCCCAGGCTGTTGTTCACTTAGGGGTGGAGAGTGGGAGCTTGCCCACCATTTCTCTGTATTCCCAGCACATTCCCTTCCTGCCAATTGAGAGCTGGCCTCCATTCCTGCCAATTAGCCCTTTTTCTCCTTCTTCCACTGCTAAGGTCTCTCCATAGGGAAGGCCCCCTTCGATGAATTCTTACCCAGGATTATTTGCTCAGAGCTTGTACCTTTTCCCAAGTAGCCTCAGACTTTCCTTCTCAGTCCTGGACCAGGTAATCTGTTTCCTAAACATGTGTCTCGCGTGTTTCACCTCTTCTCCCTCAGGGGGGATTAATGCCGCTCCCCTGGCTCTTCCCAGTGGTATAGGGAGATTGAGGTAAGATGGAAAAGCGCCTGAAAAAAACAGACTAAGATCTCCCGCTGTGGAAGTGTTCCTCAGACCGTTCTTGCTCCTGTCCTTGCTCCTATTTGCCGGCCACTCTAGCTTGCCCACCCAGCAGGATATCAACCGGATGGCCAGTCTCAAAGCGGATGTGGTAGTCAGTGTACCTCTCTGCCTCTGGTAGGAAAAAGCTCCGGGTGTCTGTCCTGACGTGGGGGGAGGACAGGGCCAGTCCCAGTGCAGAAGGCGGAGCACCACATACAGGGAGTCTCTGCTGGTTGTCACCGCAGTATTCCAGCCAACCCTCTTCTCTTACTAACCCGGGCGGCACCTCCAGTGGGTGTCTCTGTCCTCATCTTCCAGAATCTCCTCTGTGTGACTTGTGAGTTAAGAGAGGAAGCAGAAAGCTGCTTGTTGTCAGCTCCGGAGAAAGGTGGAGAAGAGGTGGAATCAGAAGTACCTGTGTGGGCCAGCATCGTGGACCTGAGAGAAGTGAACAAGTTCCCTTGAAAATTAGTTTTCATTTAACTCATGGTTCTCCCGGACATGCCTGACCTTCAGACCTCGCCTGATTTAGCCCTCTGCCCCATCAGGCATTCACATTTCATTGGCAGTTTAGCCCACCACTTCTCTGGGTGCCACCCACCCTGCCAAGCAGTGAGCGCTCTGAACCAGGGAGGCCCTCTCTGACTAGTTAATCTTGGGCCCAAGAAGCCAAGCAAAGTTATTGTCTGGGCTTTCCCTAAGAAGTCCGATCAGAGCTCAGCCTGGTTTGTGTTTTGTTTTTGCGATAGTGCGGTGGCACCCAGTGGGTGGGAACTCTATTCTGGTCTTGACTGGCGTGGTTGTTGGGATGACACGATGGTAAGCGAAGTGATCTGGTGGGTTTAATAGTATGTTCACGCATTTAAAAACCTTGCTAATGCAGTCAGACTGTTCCCGGTGGGGAGAGCTCTCTGTCTCCATCCGTGGCTACCGGAAGTGGGCTTCTTGCAATATCCTGAGAGAATGAGTCTTCTGAGATTTGCACGGTTTGATGAGATATTGTAGAAAGCTGTATTTCTTTGGAATCAAACCCCTGAGTTTCCAAGATCCTATTTCCCTGAGTCCTACCATAGAAGCCCCATTTTGCTTCCAGTCGAGCTAAAATCAAAGCCAGTGTCCAGAGTTTCTGTCCATGTTGGGACAGTCCAGTCTTAGCATCAGGCTAGCTTAGTGTTCCCAGCTGTAGTCCATTTGTTCATGGCATGTGCGGTCCATGTGGCCCATGGAGAGAGAGAGCGCGCCTTTGTTTGGGGGGTTATGTACCCCCACATTTTCACAGGCTTGCAGTGGCCCTGCCACTCTAGCAGTCCATGATTCCCAGGCTTGACTGACAGGCACTTTTCCTGTGTCACTCCGATTCATTCCACGTGGGCCCATCTTCCCTTTTGTCGAACCCCTTTCCGGTGAACTTCAGGGAATGGGCCGGTGGCTCCCTGGAGAGTGTGAAATTGCAGCTTCCTGGAGAAGGCTTTATAATGTCTGTTCTCCCGTTTGCTCCTTTCCTGTTATTAATAACTAGAGGCCCGGTGCATGAAATTTCGTGCACTGGGGAGAGGGGCTCCCTCAGCCCGGCCTGGGCCCTCTTGTAGTCTGGGACCCCTCCTCCTCATGATCCCTCAGCCAGAAGCAGCGGTGCCGGGAGTCTCTCCTGCCTCCGAGGTAGCGCAAAGGAGCAGCGAGCTTGGCTTCTGGCTGAGCGGCGCTCCCCTTGTGGGAACACACTGACCACCAGGGGGCAGCTCCTGTGTTGAGTGTCTGGTCCCTGGTGATCAGTGCACATCATAGCAACCGGTCATTCTGCCATTCAGTTACTTGCATATTAGGTTTTTATTATGTGGGACTAGCTAATTACAATGGTATCAAGACCAGGCCAGTGGATCACAAGAGCCACAAGGTGACATGTCCCCTCATGAGGAATCCAGTCTCCTGACCCCATGGAAAGAAAGGACCATGATGTCACCATGGGGGCATCCTCAGGCGCAGAAAGAGGAAGACCTTGTGATTAGCTAGGATCCTCTCCCCTTTTCTTAGGCCAGAAGCCCTCTCTCCTGGCTGGCTCTCCTTCCCTGGTCCTGGCCCCCTTCCTTTGTAAAACCCAAATACCACTGCCTTTAATTGTTCTGCCAGAACCCATAGGCTATGGATTTTGACCATCCCCTCCAGCTCACCCTTGACCTGGTTTTGTTTTTTATTCCCTCAAACAGTCTGTTCAAGGTCTACCGCTGAGCAGAGATTGGCTCACGAGCAGCCTCTGTCCTCTGAGCTGTAGGGGAGAGGGCAGTTCTGGGAAGTCACTGACAGAGGCCTGAGCTAAAACGTCAGTTATAAACAAGCAGCAGGCAGAGGGCCCAGATGCGGTGTCCCAGCACCAGGAACAGTGTGGCCTCCCTAGAGCCGTGCAGACCGCTGCCCCAGTAGGAGGACCACCTTCCAGAGGCCTCTAGCAGCACACTGTCCCACAGGGTAGCCAGTTTCTCTTCTCTCTGGAACATGGCAGCCTTCTAGTATTTTGGAAAGGAGAGGGCAGGGGGATTCTGGGAATGTCCTCAGAGACAGGAATCCAGGGGAGGGGTGGGGCTGGATCTGGTCAGGGATGGGAAAGCCTAGGAGCCCAAGGTAGCCAATTCTACTTGACAATGAAAATGGGTTCTGCCTGAGACGTTGGGGGCAGAGGAAGTTGGGCCATGGGTCCCAGAGCTCTGTCCCAGAATGCCTTGGTGTAGTGTAGGGGAAAGATCACATGGTTCCCTCAACTGGGGCCTCATGGAAATGTTGAAGCTGCCAGAGAAGGGTCTGCTCTGAGTCTAGCGCCAGGCTAGGGGCCCAGCCCCTGCCTCCCCGCTCAGCTCCTGGGCCAACCTGGGTCTTGATGAAATGCTGTGGAGCTGCAGAACAGGAGGCCTGTCCCTGTCCAGCGTGGCTATTGGTAACACCGCATTAAATGGATTGATGGGGTGGGTTTAATAGTACGGTCAAGATCTGAAAACCTTGCTAACGAAGTCACACCAGGCCAATGGCTCCCAAAGCCACTAGGTAACGTGCCTTTGTGAGGAATCTGGGAAACGGAAGGGCCATGGGCAGCTCTCCCCGAGAGGTGAGTGTGTGATTGTATCCCAGACAGCAGGAGGAGGAAGGCCTTGTAATTAGCTAGGCAGGGAAGGCGGGAACTGCCTGTGTTTTGGGAGAAGGAATTTCTGGCAT